AATATATTCCTTATCTTTATTTTTTTTAATTGCCAGAGGGTGTGTATGCTTGCCGTAGAGAGAAAGCACCCCTAGTGGGGCATGTTCACACTACAATCCTTTCTCTTCCATTTCTTCATCCTGCCAGGATTTGGGCACATACAGGTATGTGCCCAGGGAGTTTTTAAGCCTCTGGTACCTGGATTCCAGCTGCAGTGTACCTTGTGGGAGCTGACCCTCTATGTGCAGCACTTAACCTCTGAGCTAAAGGCCAGCAGGGACAGACTCTTTTGAGATATTCCAGAGGCCCTCTGGAAACTCCTAAAGTTAGTTCAAGGCTGAAAGGACTTAATTTTGAATTTGATTTTGGAAAGTTTGTGACCAATATCAGATTACTTAAAACACTTCATTAAAATAGGCTCACAGATTACTGTGAAACAATTCTTACTCATTTAACCAGAACAATATCTTTAAAACTTCAGAGATTAATTTGTGAAGTTATATAATTGTAGGGGGGAAAAACCCTTAGCTTTGTTAATATTGAGAAGACTCCATTTTCTTAATTAAACAAAGGCCTGTAATAAATACAAAATGAGGAGCTGGCAGGTGGCATGGTGGTTAAAGACGCTGGACTCCCACCATGGCCTACTGCAGTTCAAGTCCTAGACCTGGTAGCCTGCTTTTTCACTTTCCCTTTCTCTCTCTGGGCAAATTTAAAAAAAAAAAATAGTAATAATAACAAATGGAATTAAATAAATAAATTCTTAAAAAAACACAACATGAATATGCACCAAAAATTACCTTAATTAAAACACAAAATCTTGATTTCCTAGTGAGATTACTTGTGAAAACCTTTTGCAGTTTCTTATTCAAAGAAAACTGATGCTCCAAAAAGACTTGTATCAGTGTACTTTGATATCAGTGAATCCATTCGAATCTTAGCCAGTGAGCTCACTCTGTGGCCCAGTGGTAAAGTGCTGTTCAAGAGAAGCCAGACCGCACGTGGTGACCATAGTTCAAATCCTGGGTCTGGTCAACCTGAAACATGCTGGGCAAATGTATGAGTGCCCGTGTTTCACCAGCTAGAAAACTGGGGCAAGGGAACTGTGGCCTGACCACACCCAGTAGCGGGTGCTCATCTCGGTGTGTATCTGGATCTCAGTTTCTTTCGAATCATCGTGCTCTATTGTAATTTTCTTGGTAGATTTTTTTTTTTACCATAAAGTGCGTGCACTGGCTGGAGAAAGAGAGAAGGTGAAAGTGAGAAGTCACCCCCCAGAGGGATGGCGATGCCACAATCCCTTCTCCACCATTCTCCTCTCGAGATTTTGGGCATACATGCACATATGCATGGCATGTTTCTCAGGCCTCCAGGTCGAGAACTTGAACAGCAGGTTGGCCACATCGGATCGAACACCTTAACTGACCACAGTGCCACCTGCTGACCTTTCTGTCATAAATATTTTTAAAAAAATTTTTTAAAATAATAATTTTAGTTTGACCATAAGTAAACTTTATTTTCCAAGTTGCTCTTTCACAAACCTGCAACCTTCTTATATTCATTTGGATTTTGTCCTATACTTTTTTCCCAATGTGAAACAACTCTGTTAGGACAAAAATTGCTCCTTTTTTCTTAACAAAAACACATCTTTTATACTGTATAACTTCACTTACCAAAAATATCTTATTTTTCTACATGGTTACTTCTCTTATTATGCCAAAATCCTGAGGAGAATGGAGGAGAAAGGACTGCAGTGTGGCCATCCCCCCCCCCCCCCCCCCGGGGGGGGGGTGATTTCTCACTTTCTGTCTCTATCTCTTTGGCAAGCGCACATACCCTATAGCAAAAATCTCAAAAAAAATATTTCTGATTTGTCTTCTGTAAGTGTCTTTTAGAAGGGCAATTACTAATATATTTATTCTTTTAGGAGCTTCTGATGATGTGAATTAAAAAAATGTGTCACACTGTTTCAGAGGCCTCCCAGGGGCCCCTTTATTTCTGGTACACCTTGTAGAGGGGCATGTTTGCCCCAGTAAAAACTTCCCCACTAATGTCACCCTGATTCTGAATCACCTTTGGTAAGAGGTACTTACTTCTCTAGAAGGGCACAGTTTCTGGGTCCAGAATGTTTGTCCATAAAATTAGCTGCAGTTGGAGATGGTAGAGTTCTAGATGTCTTGAATTCAAATGAACATACAATTCGCTGTCTTCCCAAAAGTGTGCCTACCTGAGGTTTCCTCCCAGACCCAGGCTAATTTAGGTCAGATCCAATTTGTCTTCCAGACATAGTCCGGATCACAGATGTTCAAGTAAAGTGGGAGAGCATACAGCACAAGTTGTGGAGCCCAGATCTGAGAGGGACCTGCAGACGCTGATTCCCAGATGCTTAGCAAGAAGCAGCGAGCACAGGGCCCTCAGCAGGTTCCCCCTGCCTGGTTATTATTCTGGGACTTATCAGCTGGGGGTCTCCTTCCTGCCCTCTCAGACCCCAGAGCTATTAAAATAATAACATTACAGGTTCAACTAGTGTGTGTGTTGGAGTTAGCTCAAATTCATGAAAGTCAGCACCAGACTACAAGAAGTTCAGGACTTCACCAAGATGGCAGGAGGGCAAAACATTTACGAGATACTTTTGGAAGCAAGACAGAGAAAATATTTGATTAATTAAAGTGGAAAGTCCTTAGTTAAAGGTTTAGTTTTTTTAAAATTTCTTTGATGAGAGAGGGTGCATACTTGAGTGTGCAAGAGAGAGAGAGGGAGAGACAAGCACCCTTGACAAGGTCTCTTCGTGCTGCAGTGCCCTTCCCCAGACCTCCAGGGAGTCAGGATCTTGGGCACACACACACACCCAGCATGTTTCAGGTCAGCTTCAGGATCCAAACACACAGCCGGCCCTGTGGCTTCAACACTATCACCTGTGCCACTGAAGACAGGCCCCAAGTAATTTCTTAATGCTATAAATAGTATTAGAAAATTCGAGGGCCAGCCTTTGGTCAGTGATCATTCACATATGGTAAACATCTTTTATCGAGCTGTATCCTTTGACAAAAAGAAAGAAAAAGAAAAAGAAAAAGGTGCAAGAGAACCATATACTTAAAATGAAGAGAAGAACTTCTGTTACTTTGACGAGAGTAGTAAAATGCTATAAAAGAGCAATCTGGGACCAGTCTGTGGCATGGTGGTTGAGGCAGCTGAATGTGTGGTGTGAAGTCCCAGACCCAGCAACTTAAACACTCCAGGCGCGTGTGCACACACATATGCCCAAAACCCTGAGAGGTGAAGGACTGAGATGTGGCCATCCCCCGGGGTGGAGGGCTGCTCTCTCCCTTTCCTTCTCTCAGGATCTCTCTTCAGTGAGTGCACATGCTCTATAGCAAGTTTTCTTAAAAAATAAAATTCTTATGTTTTTCTTTAGCCTGGCATTCAAAATTTCTATAATCTTTTATTTTTACTACAGAAAGATATATGAATTAATAGTAAGAATGAAAGGATTGGCTCTTTAACAATCCTAAGAATTTGTTTTAGTAAATAGTTATCATAGGGAACCAGCAGTTAGCGTAATGGCTATGTCGCTGGACTCCCACGTAGTCGACCGCGGTTCGCGTCCCAGACCCGGTGGCTTAAAACTCACACCGGGCGTGTGTGCGTGCGTGCCCAAGATCCTGAGAGGAGAATGGAGGAGAAGGGATTGCAGCGTGACTATCCCCTCTGGGGGGTGATTTCTCGCTTTTTGTCTCTATGTCTCTCTCTGTCTGTCCGGCGAGCGCACGTGCCCTATAGTGAAAATCTCTCAAAAAAAAAAAAAAAAAGAAAGAAAATAGTTATCATAAAAATTAGTTATCAGTTGCTATTGAGGGAGAAGCCAACAGGTGGCTTAGTGGTTAAAGCACCAGAAACCCACATGGCTGGTTCAAGTCCTGGACTTGGCAGTTTGAAATTCACACCGGGTATGTGTGCATGCCTAGCCAAACTCCTAGGAGGAGAATAGGAGGAGAAGGGATTGTGGTGGGGATATAATCAACGGGGGGGAGGGGGGGGGGGGGGGGCTTTCTCACTTCCCTCTTACTGTCTCTCTCTGGCAAGTGTTCATGCCTTATGGCAAAAACCTAAAAACAAAAAAATGAAATTAAAAAATACCATTTTGGATCCAGCACATGGCTTGGTTAAGACTCCGGATTCCTACATGGCCAACCATGGCTTGAGTCCCAGACCCATTGACTTGAAAATCATATGCGTGTGCG